GTCGCCGGCGACTCAAGGCAACCCAGCTTCAGGTTGAGCTGTTGTTCAGCATCTTAGCTGTGGAGGGCAGTGTCACTGGCCCTCATCTGTGGGATCCGAACCGGGGCCCTCTGGCGTCCCAAGCCAGTTCTTAACCATCGCGCCACTCGGCCGGCCCCAGTTCCCCAATTTTAAAAAAATCTTTAAAAAAAAAAAGACATGACTCCAGTAATTTTTATATTTTTCCCATGCCAGAACCTTTTGAAATGCACACCTGGCCCCAAAACGGTCATTGAAATGCATCCTAGGAAATAGAAGCTTAACCTGAACAATTCAAGTAAATGATGTCTTGACTCCTTCTCTTCTTATGAAAGCTGTAACATCAGAGAAGTTTCATGCCTTTGTTTTCTGTCAGTAAAATTGTGAATCTTAAAGTACTTAGAAATACTAATTTGACTGAGGTACTTAACTTTTGAAGACAGACTCTCTAATGTATTTCTAAACCTAGGGGTAGAAAAATAAGAGTTTTATTCAAATATTTGCTTATTTCCAAAACCAGTGAGGCACAGGAGTTAAGTCTCACTACAGTGACCCATGGGAGACCTAAGGGTCCATTTCTGTTTGCTATCTTTTTGTGTGCCTTAGGTTTGGCAAAAACTCCTTGTTCCGTATTTACCCAACTCTAGCATGTAGTTAGGGTTTGATACTCACTTCTTACTTGAGAAAATAAACTAAGAAAATAGTATCTTATAAAAGTTGAGATATTTCATAAACACTTGTTTAATAAATGTTGCCAGAGCATCTATTCTAAAGGAAATACAGTTTTTAATCCTAAATGAAATACAGAACATTTTAACTATTGTCTGACATTATTTGATTGTGACTGTATTAGTTTCCTATTGGTGCTGTAACAAAAGATCAATAATTTAGTGGCTTAAAATAACACAGGATTATTATCTTTCAGTCTCACTGGGCTCAAGTCAAGGTATCAGTAGGGCTGCCTTTCCTCTGGAGGCTCTAGGAGAAAATCTATTTTTTTATCTTTTCCATCTTCTGAAAGTTGCTTGCATCCCCTGGCTCATATCCCCCTTCCATCTTCAAAGTCAACAATGGTTGATCCAATCTTTCTCACATCCAATCACTGACACTGACTGTCCTGTTTCCTTCTTTCACTTATGAGTACCCTCGTGATTACACTGGGGGCACCCAGGTAATCCAGGGTCATCTCCCATCTCAAGAACCCTCGTAAATCTACAAAGTTCCTTTTGCCATGCAAAGTAATATGTGCACAGGTCCCGGGAAGTAGGATATGGGCATTTTAGTGGTGGGAAGGCAGGACTCTGCCTACCATAATTTTATTGAAGCATAACAATTTTGCATGCTCTTTGTTAAATATTTTCATCCATTTTACAAGTCAGAAATTAATTACTGAGGAAGTTTTAAAGATTGGCCAAAGTTATGCTAGAGGACCCTCTACCAGTTGATTGCTTACTCATGACTCATCCAATTTCTTGAGGAAAGAGTAATGTTGTTTGGATCTGAGACATAGAGATGACTACATACGTTTGTCGCCTTCACTTTGCCAGTTCTCCATTTTATTTAATTCTGTAGAAACTTGGCATATTGCTCTTGGAAACTAGTCCCTCCTAAAATACTGTCAATTTGGATTAGATGAGAAAGATTATGAGATGGTTGCTCGAAATAGTGTGGCTTGACTGAAGATGTATTACAACATCATCAGCAAATAATAAATAAAAGGAGATTTTTATAAAAATCTTTTATAAGAAGCATTTGTGTTGGGGTTTTGTTTAAAACAAGATTTACCCCTCCAGCATTGCTCTCACTGGTGAGTCTCTTCATTTTGGTCACCATTACAGTGTGTTTCTATCTATTTGCAACACTATACCAGCTGATGGGATGCAGCCAGCAGCTGCCCCTGTGTGTTAGAAATGTCCCGTAGCTTAGCATGAAGAATCAGGACTTAATTCATTTACCCTGGCTCCTCCATGCCTTTCTCTGCCAACACAGCTGCAGCACAGCTCCTCCATCTAGAAGCCTGGCAGCCGTCCCAGCTGGGTGCTACCTGCCAACACTTTTCTGAAGACCAGCCAGAGTGGGGAGAGAACAGGAGGGCAGGAGGCTGAGGAGGAAGGGAAGAGGAGATGCAAATTTAATTGCATTGGCCTTCAGCCCCGCCTTAGACCTCCATGCTGTCAGAGGTGATGACATTCTTGTATTTAGCAACCTTCACTGATCTTGCTTGTAAAAGTCCTATTTAGATGTGGGCACGCTTTCTTGAGGTTTGAGTGTTGGGAATTACTCTCATCTTCCCCTTTATTTTGCAGTTATGGAGAACTAGGAACACCCCACTGGCTGGAATGGTGGCCTCCCATGCAGAAGAGTGGTGAGTTGTTGTTCTTATGTCTCTTTACTAATATGCTAATCATTCAATTATGTACTTTTTTCTCATTTCCATAATGCGCTGTAACAGTACTGTCCAACTTTTCCAGGATGAGAACCTCTTGTTAATGTCAAATTTTACAGCCTTCCCACATGATAGTTGTTGCACTTTTTGTGTTAGTTGATTTTTAAAATATGTGATCAAAAGCATCTGAATTCTGTAAGCTTTTGGATAAACTTACATGTTATTAAGCACAACAGTGTCTAATAACATTGAAAACCAGTGAAGACAGAGACTGCTGGAGTATCTGGTGGAAAGTCTGTGTTCTTTCATGTTAATAGAATGATTAAGACAGTGTTTGTTGTGACTATGGATTCATGGGCCTCTTTTCAATACCATGACACCCTCGAGAGGGGCGGCTCACAGGAGGGCGCACCACTGGAGGGGAACAGGGACCAAACTTGCCCAGTTTTGTGTGTGCGGGGGAGGGGGGGCTGGGAGCAGCTCTGTCAGCTCTCAACAAGAATGGATATGCCCCAAGGGAAAGATCCCTGTTCAGAGCAGGCCCACCCACAGGAAACCACATTGTTGAGATCCCTGCTTTCAAGGTTCAGAATCCTTCAAAACAAAGCTACCCTGCAGGCCAGGACTTCAGTGACTCCCTTTTGGTTTATATTACAAACCTTACAAGGAAAAGTGACCCCACAGCAGCTGGGGCTAAGAGAGGAAACCATCCAAGTTGACCAGAAGACATAGCCAGGACGGCCAGCTCTAGTTTACAAAAAGGACCTCCCCAGGGGAGAGTGATTTCAAATTCCATTATCCTGCAAATAAGTTGGGGACCAAAGAAGAAGAGTATGAGAACTTGTTAGAAATCAGAGTGATAAAGTATTTGGAAACCAGTAGGGCATGGGGGTGCATTCCAGTGTATCAGAATGGACAACAAGCCAGAGCTCTTAAGAAGGTCCTGAAGCACACCCCTAAGGAACAGGCATTAACCTTTGGGTGCTGGATCAAGGGAAGGCAAGGGGTTCTAAGGTGGCTGGGTAGTCTTGTAGGGACAAAGGCAGAAGCAACTTAGCAACTGGTAAGAAAGCATTTCAATATTTAACAACTGCAAACGCTATACCCCTGCGTATGGGCTGCTGATGTCTGTCATCAAGAATTCTAAAGTGATCTCTTATAAAGAGTTGTGGCGCCATGGGAGAAACTATTGACAGAATCCCATTCCTTCATTTTTCTCGGACTGTGGCTATAGTAAATTCAAACCTACATTCTCTTTTCCTGAGACAATGAGACTTGTAGATAAAAGCATGTTTTCCTGAGGTGAAAAGGGAAATTATTCTGTGTTGAGTGTCTGCTATGTTCCAGCCTCTGGGCTCCAAGTTTTACATCCCTGGTTTCACATCCTCTCACAACCAGGGAGTATTTATTATTCCCATCCTACAGGTGAGGAGCCCAGGCACCCAAGGTCACACTTCTAGTGAAGGGTGGATCCAACTTCCACCCACACCTACCTGACGCTGATCTGCTGCCTTTTCTTCCCACCACATCACACAGTGTTTAAGATTTTCTTGTAAACCAGGTAGGCTTTAGGGCTGTACATTTTATCAAACAGCTCTACTGTGTTCTTTTTAACTCCCCAAATCAACTCTTCTTATATAACAATGCTCATTTTATTTTTATTTACTAACTCAACAGTAATTCATTAATCAACCTAATCACACTGAAGTTACTTTTTTTTTTTTCTAAAGATTTTGTTGGGGAATTGGGGGAGGGGAACAGCCTTGGGGAATCGGGGAAGGGGAACAGACAAGTTGCTGTCGTTTTGTTCTTCAGTCTAGTTGTGGAGGACATTGCTTCACTGGCCCATGTTGGTATTATGATCATTGCGCTCTTGCTGGGTGAAGCAGTCGCTCACCAGCCATTGGACGGCCACTCACGGCAGCTCATGGCAGCTCATGACGGCTACCAGCCACTCACGGTAGCCCACAGCAGCCCACTGCAGCCCACGCCATCGCCTGCGACTCATGGCAGCCCAGCTCCAGATCAAGCTGTTGTTCACCATCTTAGCTGTATAGGGCGCAGTGTCACTGGCCCTCATGTGGGATCCGAACTGGGGCCCTGCTGCTCAGAGCTGGAGTCCCAAGCCAACTCTTAACCAATGAGCCACACGGTCGGCCCTTGAAGTTACTATTTTTAATGGAGCAATGAATGAAACCACATTTACTTTTTGGAAATATGTGCTTACTATATATAATAAAGCCTTTTTACTTTAACTGTTTTACTTAAGGTTCCTTATTATCAATAGGAAAGCATAGTTCAGTTAAGCGAGTTCTTAACCATCGCGCCACTCGGCCGGCCCAGCATAGTTCAGTTAAAAACACATGTATATGACACACTCATAGACATTCCCCGAAAGTTAAGAACTGCGGTAATTCTGAAAGATTTTCTTGGGTTTTCCTCTAAGTATTTTCCATGGAAATCAATTTCATGGACTTGTTAATGTGAGCAGGAACCTCACAATAGAGATCACATCCTTTCATGAAACCTTTTCAACCCCCATTAGTCCTCAGCGTTTTTATCTTCTACTGTTTGTTGATAATGTACTGTTCTAAATAGCCATCAAATATAAATCAGTAATGATAAAATTAATTGGGAACAGGCATTTATCTAACATCTGATACACACCAGATTGCTAAATGGTGGGGTAATGAGTAAAGCCTCTCGAGTGGGGACTGAGGGTTTGTGGAGCAAAGTGTCTTTGTTTCTGACTCCAGCCCGCTGCTCCTTCCCAGCCTCATGTGATGTGTCCGAATATTACCCTTCATAGTGAAAAGGCAAAAAGCCAGCATCTCTTTTCTGGGGCTGTATGGGAACCATACGAACGAAAGTGAGCTTTGTGAGGATTCAATGCACTCGACATGCAAAAAGACACAAGTTGTAATGTTTCTATTCTATTGGGTCCAATCAAGGAGCAGAATGGCCTATTGCTAACATTTTAGGATTTGACTCAATAGCCAATGGATTCTAGTTCTTTTACCATGGGCAAAGATTTAAAATCTTGTAGGCCCTGGATGGGAATTATCTTATCTGGACTTATTATGAACATATAACTCTTCAGTTCCCCCTCAAATTCATCAAGCATACTGAGTTTCAAAAGATATCCCTACTTCCCGCCTCAATGCCTTATTTTCTTAATATAATTTTATTTTTTAAATGTATTATACAATATTTAAGACACTCAAAAACAGATGAGGAAAAATACAAGCGATACCTATGTATTTACCTCAAAGTCAGCTCAAGAAATAAAACATTGGGAACACAGTTAAATCCACTGTATGCGTCATGCCTAAAAGGTTATTTCCTAAGAGATTGGAGACTAGATGTTTGGCTCTGCCCATCTTTGCAAGGTCCTAAATATGGCCCTGACTTCTCCGGCCTGGAGTCGGGCTTAACTCCATTATGACCATATTTGGGAATTGGGCCTTTATGTAGGAGTCTGGCCTGGACCTTGGCTATGACTTTTGAGCACTTTTCCTCTGGCCTTGGTGTCTGGCCTTGTTGAAGTGCACATAACCGCCTCTTCCAGAGTGTTCAGTGAGAGGGCCCAAAGCCCTTGACCACAGTTTTACATTATAGGCAATCAGGGAGGCCAAGGGGAGGTGGCTAAGCTCTCTGAACTTCAGATGGACTTGACTCATTGAGGAGGAAGGGGTGCCACTCCTGAAGCCTCAGCCCTACAGTGACAACTTGGTGCTGTAGGATGGCTCTGGCTTGGGCTAGTGCTGAGGCTGAGGACAAGTCCAACTGTCCCTGCACTTGGCCTCTTCTGAGCAAAGCTTCTCTTTCAGCCATGGGACTATGCTGGCTGGAGAGCTATGGACCAGTGCCTTCCAGACCCTCATCGGAGTTCTTGCTCCATGGGCCATTTTTGGTGAAGAGAGAACTCAGAATATTAACTGTCTTTTATATTATTCTGTATACATTGGTCTTAGGTAAAAATAATAACAGTAATGCTTTTAAAAGTAAGGAAAATAAATGAAAGAAACTCAAGGAGTCCTTTGCCCTGTTGCTGCTATATATTGCAGCCAAATAAACACATCCCCCCACACTTCTTTATGTTGCAGACCAGTTTTTTTCCTTACACAGGAATCTTATTAAAACAATAAATCAATGTTAACCTGGGTTTTAAATTAGCCCAATATGTTTGGAGAATTTGCTGGTTTAATTTTCCTATTTTTCATTTTCAGTTAACTAATTTAGTTTTCCCAGCTGGGACACCACAACCTTAACATATGAATTTATCTTGAAACCAGGAAGCCCTGACTTACATTGCTGCCAAAACAAAGAAGGAAAACCCAACCTTCTGTCCTGTAATGAGGCAGCAGGGAAGCACAGGTCCAGGAGCCTTAGGCACCTTGCAAAGTGCCTAAGCCTGCGCTCTGGGGAGCAGCTCCCACTGCCTGCACGTCCTCCTGAATACTCTGTTCTGTACTTTCTCCACATCTCCTTTGACTGAAAGTCCCTAGCACATCTCTGTTATGGACTGAATGTGTGTGTGCTCTCCTAACTCCCCTCCCCCCCCACCCCACACACATTTATAGGTTGAAGTCCTAACCCCATTGTGACCATATTTGGAAATAGGGGCCTTTATAAGTAATTCGGGTTAAATGAGATCATAAGGGCTCTGAGCCAATAGGATTGGTATCCTTATAAGAGACATAATCAGAGAGCTCTCTCTCTATACACACACACACACACACACACACACACACACACACACACAACACACACGAAGGGAACACATGAGCAGACAGTGAGATGGCGGCCACCTACAAGCCAAGAAAAGAGGCCTCAGAATAAAACCTACTTTGTCAGTACCTTGATTTTGGACTTCCCAGCCCCCAGAACTATGAGAAAATAAATTTCTGTTGTCTAAGCCATCTAGTCTATGTTATTTTATTATGACAGCCCAGACTAAGACAATCTCCTGGCAATGT